TTGTCTGGAGGTCCTGAGGAAAATCAAAAGAATTCTGAGTCAGGACAGCCGGTCCGTGGTCTGGAATTTTTTTTTACTATTAATGACAATGACCGCTGGTAATAAAAACAGAAATTATAGCAATAAAATGTGTCAGCGTAATCACTGACAACTAATCACCTGAATACGGTAGAACAGTCAGCTCCCGAAACGTCGTGTATATCAAATATAACTCAGGCAGTGTTCATAGACCAACACAGAGTTCTACGATGAACCAAATATTGTCACAACCTTCAAAGAAATGCAGAGATGAAATTATCTTACCGATAAATTTATGCCATATCCATCCGTGATTTTCCTTTTTTTATATTTTGCAGGAAATCCTTGGGACTGCACTTGTGGCGTGCTCTACAGTGCTTATAAAGTACTACGCGCGGACAAAGAGAGAAATATCACTCTAGTCTGCGCACGCCCTGAAGAAGGCAGAGGAGAACCGTGGAATGTCCTAGAAGAAATATGCGAACGAACAACAACGGAGGACATCGCACGAACCTCAAATTTTTCTGCGACATACGAAGTAACGGGAACCGAAATTTTAACCACGGCCGCCATTTTGGTAATTAAGGGCGGGTTTAATCATAATTCTTCCTCAAAAGTATCGTCCATTAGGCCTTCTGCAATATTCGTCATATGCTTTGCCGTAGCAGTGTTTGTTGTCATAATAGCCGCGCTCATAATCACAAGAAAAATTAAGAAACAAAACCTGAATCACTTGTGGTGGGAGGACCAGGTCAAGAGGAGACAGCTCTTGTCGGAATGATCCTGAGTGGTCACAAAACCAAGTGGTAACTATAAGTGCCAATCCCTTTAACACTCGATGATCCTGTGTTTTGCTCACACCCTGTTGTGTGCTTCGTATGATTTTTGTTATAAACAGCGATTATTTCCTTAAACAGCGTTAACCATTCGATTTTTGTAACGGTGAAGTTTCGTGTTTTCTTCGCGGTACGGACTGAATACTAAAGTATCATTTACACGAGCTTCGGCTTCTATCCCCACTTTTCATCCCACCAAAATCCTTACGCACACTAAACTTGCCTTCACCACAAGGACGACCGAACACTGCCTGGGGATCTTCGTATCCGGAAATCAAAATTGTTCGCCTTCGTTACAAACACGTGCCTATCGGTATCCCCCCCCTCCCGGACACTTTGTCACCTGTTCACTCCCTTAATCGTATTTATACACGGATTTTATATATTGACTTGGACGTGATTTTATCGTAACGTTCCACTTTATTTCGGATCGGGACCAACACGAAACGAACACTTAGTCGCTTCTGGAATCCGTGTTGTACCTTAACAGATGCTTTTGAAATCCACGGGGCCGACAATGCAACACTGTCGCAGTGCGCATGCGTGATTAGTTTATCAGCAAACGACGACAACAAATACAAATTATACATTTCGTAACGAAACGTCCAGAACACTACGAAATGACGAAGGGACTAATGAATAAGTCACACAGAGTTTTACGATTGCAAACAACCGATGTCGACGAACTTCTCGACGAGAGGCACGCTTCATCGAAGAAATGTTTGCCTTCTGATGTACAGCAGCGTTTAGTCTGGTAGATACTGACCAACGTTTCAGAGCATCTTACTGCCTCCATCATCAGGGAGATTAATATTCGTATCCGCAAATCAAAACTTGTTCGCCTTCGTTACAAACACCTGCCT